TGTCAGAATCGGGCTTTTTGGCGGTAGGAATGGCTTTTTCCTTCCTTTTTGAAACGGCCTGACCCGTCTCCGCTCATTTCGAAGACTGGGCAAGGCCAGGTAATTTTTCGAGAGCCCTCGGGCGGACTCTCGAGTTGTCCAACGTCGTGTTGAGACGCTTTTTTCGAACAGGTGGTATGGTGAAAATGCCAGTGACTCGATCACAATGATTTGATAGAATGCGACGAGCGCGAGTGGGAGGGAGACGGGGAAAAGGTGAAGATTCGATAATTCGAATTTCAAAAAATTGTGGTTGTATTGTGAGCTAGCACGACGTTGATATAAATAAATAAATAGTTTTCACTGACAAATACTCACAGATTTGATTAAACACTTGCATCCTAGGCAAGGGTCAACGCCCTTGTGGATAACATAAATTCATGAAATTGGACATTACAACTGAAAAGAACTGCCACAATCTGGAATAGTTACAAGAAAATTTTGATCTTTGGGCGAAAATGCACGGCGTTAAATATGCGTCGTGAAAATATCAGCTGATGCATTTCTTTAGGGACCGGAAACGTCGCAGTTTCAACGCTACTATTCTAATACAGAGCGATGTGATCAATCCCAAATCGTCTATTCCATTTATTTCATCTCTAGAAAATTCATTTGGGCCACAACACGAATTGGGCATCCCACATTAAAAGACTAAGAGTGAAAGCGGAGTCACAGATAAAGGAAGTTAGTGGACTAACTCAGTCAACTTGGCCGGGGGGAGTCAAACCTCAAGAAAATCCGACTCCTATAAAACTTAGTACTAAGACTAGCCCTTGCCTATAGATCCCCGATCTTGGCCAAGACTGCGCCAGCGCGTAGCACCCCCAAAAAGTCACTGAAGCCGCCATGAAGCGTACGAGGAAGAGTTTTCAAGCTCATCACAGGTAAATTTTAATCGAGTAGATGTAGGATGCTAGAGTTTGAAATTTCAACTCTGCCTATAGGGATCTACCCGATATAAAGGGGGATACAATGTACCGGATTATCCGAAAACCTACCTGTCAAGCAGATAGTAACAACTACACATACAGCCGGTAAAGACAAATTCTTCACCTTCCAGTGGTGCCGGTGTAATCGCTTAGTATGCTCTGCATATCTGGGATAGCCAAGAACAATCGCATCCAAATCGAAGTCGAAAGCACTCGCAAGCACATCTAAAATCGACGACTTCTCGTCAATGTCGGAACTATCATTCTCACGCGAGTCCTCCACCTCAATCTTACTACACCACCTCGCCTCAAATACCGATGTCGGAATACTCGAGTGGTATTTACATCACAAGCTTTCTGTAGCAGTAGTAACAATTGGTGGTTAACATATATCTTCTCTCCTTTACTTCTAGCTAAAGGAAACACGTATATACAGCAGTTGTCCCTCTCTCCTGATGCCATTCCTAAACAGGGAACTCATTACTCATCAACATAATTAGTCATCATTTCTAAGATAATAAATGAAAGGTCATTAAGTCATTAGGCTATTTGTCAAACAGATTACCCTAAATTTAAATGTTGTGTCATGATGTCTAAGTTGAGTAGTTTACAAGCAAGTAAACTGGGCTGATGCATCAAGGGCAATAGCTTAGTCATGCAAATGTTACAACTAGCGACTAGACGGATGGCCAATTTCATATGCACAACTCCCTTATTGTTTCACTTTCTCTATTGCCCATGATAATGTAACAGCCAATTTCAGAACCATGTATGGAACGGAGATTTGAGCAGTTTGCATGGGAAATCTAATAGTCAGTCTATATTTGGAATAAGTAGGATACTCAAGATGTATATAGTACCTAGATAGATTCCTCATGGTGGAGGACAATCAATTCAATCAACTCTGAGAGAGATTCATATTAGTATAACTTTGCTTAACACAATGTCTCTCGAAAAGTCTACTTCAGAAACCAAAGCTTGCAAGCATCTACTTCACGATCAATATATTGAAATAAGAATGTTAAGAAAACTTGGCTTGACATTACAACATATATCCGACGAACTTTGCTTCACAGTAAGGCAAGTGCAATTTGCGTGTGCTCGAGACACTGAGAATCCTACACCTCGCAAAGGACTCTCACCATAATTAAGCGCAGAACAAGTTGATGAGCTTGAGGCTTTCGTCCGGGAATCTCCTGGAAATCGACAGATGTGCTATTTGGAACTAGCAATGGAACCATTCAGCCACTGGTGATGTAGTGAGGGTTAAATCTCTAATGCCCTCAATAAAATAGGTTACAGCAGATGAATTGCTCGGAAGAAGCCTCCGTTAAGTGTGGTTAACATGCACAAAAGATGGATAGCGTTGATAAAGGAAAATGGAGGGTTCACAAAGTATTAGAATGGAGTAAACAAATTCAAAACATGTAGTACGCTTTCATTTTAGTTGCGATCCATACTGATGGCTTCGATGTAGACTTTTGTCATGCAGAGCAATTATTTTTGAAATAGATGTATATTTTTAGATAATATCAATTGATTTTTTTTAATTATTTTTGTAGACTTACGATGAACTATAGAGAGTCATATATTCAAATCCACAAAAACCTTAGCAGGGTCCAGAGCAGCATTGTCATACATGTAAGAAGCGAGCACATTGGACTCAATGCTTACTTATACAGAAGGAACGTGCCAGGAGTAGGAAAACCATGCTGCCAATGTGGATATCCGTCCCAAAATATAAAGCACATGGTGATGTCTTATCCTAGATGGGCAAAGGGACGAGGTGAGTTGTTACGAAAATCGACAACTGGATCTTTCGAAGCTATGATAAATAACGTCAAAGATATCAATAGGATTGCACAGTGGATTCAAAAGGAAGGACGGCTAGAACAGTTTCGGATGACCGGGGAAATCGAGGCGTTAATCAGGCGAAGAGAGGAAAATGGATACACAGGACAAGGACGGAATCCACACTGGCAACAACAGTGTGAGTGCACTTCCTAGAGGTAAGACTATAATGGCGCAGAGTTCAATCAGACAGCTAAGGAGGTTTTTACTGCAAGCTTTCCTCCTATGTAAATAATAGAGTTCGTAGACACCTGCATGGGCCCTTTTTTTTGCATCAGATTTTAATTGCGTATGCAGCTATCTAGATATGACACAATATCAAAGAAAAGTACAGAAAAGATGACTCGATTTACAAGAAGAGTACTTATGCCTCGGATTTCATTTGCAAGTACCACTGCGATGTTATGGCGTCTTTTTCTTCACCCCAAGTCAACCCTCATCCGTGAATACCCACCCAGGGGAACGTCTCAAAAACCCTGAGTTATCCAGACATGCCTCTATCATCTTTCAACTTTTCTCCAGGCAAAATGTGATCTGAGGTGTCTCTTTTCCAAGTGGAGTAGGTTCCCAGGCTACTCAAACCATACCAGAGAACATCACCAGGAGGCGGACCACAACACCTTCCATCGTTTGCTTGTTTTTATAGTGTGAGCTGCACTCTCGCAAGCGAAGTCTTGGCGCGCACAAAGCTCAATTCGTAAAACTCTTTCCAAAATTCAAAATTTCACGCCCGTCGAGACTGTATCCATCCTCTGCATCATCTTATCAACTTGTCCTGATCCCTCTCACGTCCGTCCCAAAGAGCTATCTCCCAAAATTGTGCTCCACGTTTTGCTTCCTCCGTCGGGTATAAATATCGGCGTGGGCGTGTATTTGGTGACCAGCTGAGGCCAGAGAAAGTCGACGAGAGGTATGGTCATTGAAACGAGGATGTACTAGGTCGTACTTGTAGACTTGATGAAGCTTAGTTGAGAATCGGGCTCTTTGGGAGTGAAAGATTGACATGATGGAGTAATTTGAATTTTTGCTTCGTGGGCCAACTTTTTTGATATTGCGAAATTTGACTGAACTTGGCTCTGGGAGAATATTTCACTCAGGTTCGTAGAGGACACCGCGTACAGGTGTTCAGTCTTGCCCTCCACATGCATGGGCCCATTGGGCGCCAAATCAGGCTAAATGAAATAAAATTCAAAAATATTCGAATTGATTTTTTTAAATTCTAAATGAGGACCATTGTACATTTCGTTCGGTGTTGAATACCGTCTCCATTAATTTTGACTTTACGGAATATCGTTGGATAGTACCCCTGCTTGCATGACTAGTGGATGAACTAGACATGGGCCTGCATTGAGACCAAACAAATCAAATGAATATGTACAGGGATCTAATCCCAGTCGTTTTGACAATTGTACAATTTCTATCCATAAGAGACAGTAGATAAGTATCACGTCCTTTGACACGGTGATGGCTTGCCAATTACATAGCTTTTTAAATCGAACAGATTTATCAGATCACTAAATTGTAATTTTCTCCTGCCTGAGTATCATTCTGTGAGGTCTTCAAGGTTCATGATCACACTGAAAGTATTTCCCTGCATTCTAATCTGCTAAATCATTTGCTCTAGCTATTTCTCAGCTCTGTATCATTACTACACAACATTATTATTTTCGTAACAAAGGAGGATAAGAGCTTTGTACAAGGTGCACACTGGGTCATAGAGGAGCCCAATGTACTAGATAGTTGACCCAAGTAGCCTAAAAAACAACAAAGCAAGATAAAGCCTAGTTCAATTCCAGTTTCGCCCTTAAAAGCTACATATTATCAACACTGTTAAATCTTAAATCAAAAGACAAGTATGCAATTTAATGATGAATCCCAACTGATCGTGCTTTGGGATTTCCGCCATGAGAACACTGACGATACATGATCCTGCCAAGAGCTTGGCTTTCGAGTCGCATTTCAAGTAGCAGGTCTAACGGCAAATTTCCGAAATCCGTGAGCGCAGAATCCACGGGCCTTTCAAAATTTTAAGAGTCGAGCAATCTTTTGTCTAAGGATGGCAGCAAGGGCTTAGCACATGACTGAATCCGATTATATTTAATTTGGAAGGAATTCTACCCTCTATTTTTTTGAATACAACTATCTCTATCATTACAAAGAACTACCAAAAATTCATCAAACATGAGATATCCACATCATGCCGTTGGAGGCCAGTCTACATGGCTAAAAGCCGTGTTTATTATACTTCTTATCTCAGCCCCTGCCTCATCAATGACAAGTAGAATAAAAGTAACAACTGAGCCTGGATATCATTGTGCATATAAAATATATCCACACAGTGTAGTTGAAACGACTCGTCTGGTAGCTTGCAGAGGATTCACGTCAACAAACTCTTGCGCGAGACGACCCCTCGTATATTTTGAAGACAGTGAATTTGAAAACATGATATTTGAATGGTCTATTCCTTTGGTTGCAACTATGGATTCTAGAGGTGAATTTTAAGAATCCTGATAAACTGACCCAAAACTTCTCAATAGCTCAGATTTGCTAATTCTGTTCGTAGGCAGAAGAAGAACATATGCAGACAAAATAACTTTTAACAATAGCTGCGAACTGAAAGATCTGCTTTATTATGACAATGCCTCAGCTCAATTTGTGCCATGTGTAAATGTACCCGAGGTTTCGAAAAGTACAACTTCTGGGATAGGCCAAGTCCTCACAGAACCTTTAGTTAAATGCGGATCATTATCATGGGAGTTAACAGAGATTCAACAAGACGCCAGAAATCAATTATACCAAACCATGCATTCGTTTGATGAAGTGGAGTTCTCATCTAGTAAGATTGATGGTCCATGGAAGAGTACCTTTTTGAGCAAAAGAGTAACTGTAGACGGTAAAGGTAAGATCTTTAAATCTGTGAGCAATGAAAATTGTTTAACATCTTTCAAAGCACAATATGTAAGATACGAAGTTATATTAAATAATCAAAATGAAGTCCGTGGTATAGCCATTATGCATAATATAAGCCTAAGAATACCCGTAACCCGCAAATTCATCCGACAGTCAAGTGAACAGAACAAGTCGACACCAATGCGGGAAAAGAAAAGTATCAAACTAGAATGCTTATTTGACGGAGCATTCCCACTTTTTCCTGATAGTCGGATATCGGATCAACCAAGCCCTAAAAGACGAAAGAATTTAGAGTAGCCTAGCGATAAAGAATATTAAAAACGACTAGCTTCTAGCAGAGCTGGCACAATATCATCATGTAGGGACGCGATTAATTCACTGACTTTCATTGTTAATACAATCATTATCAGCTCCTAATGATAGGGAAAATAATAGCTGGATTCTAGAAGGCTGTTTAAGAGCCCAAACACACGACTGAGATGACGTTAATTTTTACTGGGCTTTTAGATATTCTTACGAGGCTAGTTCCAGAGGGATGCAATCTGGCCGCTTAACTTTCAAGGTACAAGTATCCGAGAAAATCATATACAATCAAATATTTAGACATCTATCATTGTTACTAACATTTGAATTCATACCATTACGATGTATGCTAGACCTGGTTGTGTAGTTTATCACACTGAGAGTATATTCTAGAGTGCAGGAGAACCTCTTTTTTTTTTAATTCATAGTGTATTCAGCTATCTAGCTATGACACATTGTTTCTATAATTTTTATCTCCCAAACTCCTTCTTTACATATAATTTACTCAATTTCCAATTGGTATGTCCTATTTTAAAATCCTTTGTGTGCTACCATGCACTGGGATATGTCCAGATGTCTAAGAAGAGCTTCCTTCCTATCTTTGCTCGAAATAATATTGGAAGTGTACGATAGTAGAATCTCGTTCCAAATATAATTGCTGAAACCCAATGGAGGATCGTATGAAATTTGGCACTTTTATGGCTTTCAATTATTTGGAGATAATTTCAGTTATTGAGGTTGTAGTGCACATTCTCTCAGCTCACTACCGAAGTAAAACCAAGTACAGGCTTTGTAGTCGCTTGTGTGTGTGCCGATAACTAGGCCTACTTAATGGCCCCAATTATTCTACCTTGAGTTTGAATTCGAGATCTTCAAAGTGACAGGACAGACCCATTATCCATTTATACGTGACACGGGGAGATGAGTTCCGAGAACCCCTTGCTACCTACATGACCGGCATAAAAGCTAGGAGCGACAAAAGAAATGAAGAGAAAAAAAGGTACAGTAAATGTCTGAGTTACGCTGCCCTGCGCCGCATTCCCATCCTACAATTACATCTCCTCTCGGGTCAGAAACAATCTCAGCGTGGTCACCTCCCACCCTGTTCATTCTTCGGCAGACTGTAACATCTGCTTGTAGTTAAGAATTGAGTGAACTCCTGCCATCCCTTCTCCCCTATCATTTCACTAGTCCCAGGTGGGGCCATTTTCTCATAGCTTCTCCAACGTAGCAAAGCAGGTCAGCACTCTGAAAAATGCGAAGGACGAAGGCCGAACACCTGTCAGTGGTGTCATCTACGAACCTGGGGGTGAAATATTCTCCCAGAGCCGAGATTCAGTCACGACAAAGGGTGAATTTTGAGAGTTTTCATCGAGTTGGCGATCGGGAGGAGTGGTGTTGGCTCATTTTTGGTCGAATATCCGACTTGCAGAGACTTCACGACTACACAACTCAACGAAATCGACCATCTATACCCCAGATACGAACCGCAGACAGCCTATAACCTGTCTGATGTTCGTATTACAAAAACCGACACCTTCAACATCTTATTTTCTATTTCTCTGGAAATTCATTCTCAGCCAAACTCATCTCGTGGCCCTCTCCACAATTATCTCATCACCTACCAAAGCAATCCCATACCCCCAAAAGCCAAATCGCCAACAAAGAAGCAAGAGGATATCCGACCCTACGCAACTGCCAGTCGCTGTGAAGGTACGGTCGAAATACCGGCCTTAAATGCGTCCTCACCTCGGCCAAGGGCACCAACAACTCGACCTGCGACGAATCGCCACCGACGAAATACGTACGACATTTCGCCGGCACACTAACTAGAGCGTTCGACAAAGGCTGGGGCACCGGTGCCTCGGTCTTGAGCTCTCAGTCGCATTTTCGAACTCCACGGTTAGGGGTACGGCTAGGGGTACGGCAGCGACGGAGAAAGGCCGGAGGGGTGGACATTCAACAAAGTTTCTAGGATGACGAGATCGGCTGAAGGACAGAGGGATGCTGCATGAAGGAACAAAATGGAATACAAACTGAGGAGGCCTTGGTGGGCGACTGGATGAGGCCTCCAGTGAAGAAAACGACCACTGGATGAGATGAGGAGATGCTGAGGTGAGCAAAAGCTGCGAATGAATCGAAGGGAAAAGTTACAGACGGCGAAGGTGTCAAGGGCTCGGGCGCGTGGTGGCCGAGGCTGAGGAGGAATTTGCGCTTCGGCGCGCCAAAAGGGGATTCTCTGGACGGTTGGGCTTGACATGATTCAACACATAGGTGAAGTCTGAGGTGGTCCGGTCATTTAGGTGGGACGAGGTAGATGTACTTAATGTTAGTTATATTAAGGAAATAATGACCTCTCACTCATTGAGGTTGTAGAGCGCATTGATTCAAGTAACTACCGAAGTGAAACTAAGTACAGAATTTGTAGTCACGTGTGTACCAACAATGTGGCCTACTTGATAGCCCCAATTATTCTAAATTCCAACAAGTTAACCTGATCCAGCCTGGCCCCACCTGTGCTTAAGCTCCAGTAGGAGTGCAACGGGAATTACTATACCTAGCACGTAAATCAACAAAACAAAACAAAAACTCTGAAAAATGCCAAGGCGCTTTCTCTCGGCCGTAAACGCACTTCAGATCTACATGTTCGAGGTTGAAACGTTGATGGTAGTCGGCGTATTCCCCGTGGCCTGTTCTCGCCACAATTAGACGGTGGTACGCCCATCTTGGTAGAGCCAGTTCCGGTGGCTGTTTGCAGCGCATGAAGAGAACTAGGTCTTTGTATCGTTCCGGCCGAAACTTCTGCCACCACTCTTCCACGAGCCCTTGTCCTCGCTGTTTAACCCACCTCCATAATGCCGCAGAGGTTAGATTTTGATCTTCTCCACTGGGCGTAGCCAAGGTTAGTGACCGGTTATTGAGAGCTCCCAAGGCTGATTTGGCCAGCTCATCAGTCTCTTCATTGCCTTTGATCCCAACATGACCAGGTATAGAGCGTATTTCCAAGCGCTTATTGAGTCTCAGCAACTAAAACTTGTCCACCACTACCTGCGAGGAATTAAATCTTCCTCTTTCGAGCGCCCGAGCAGCTGCTTCATTGTCCAGAAGAATGCAAATCAGTGCGTCTTCTCCTACCACTATTGAAGCCTCCAAGGCTCTCATCGCGCCCACAATTTTCGCGTCAAATATCTCTGCTCCGGAATGTAAGCCGGAACCCCTTCCAGCTAGCTTGCCTCTCTGTTGCATTACGTATCCCCATGCTGACTGTCCGGGCCCCAATGAAGATGTTGGAATACTCGGGTGGTATTCGTATCACAAGCTTTCTGTAGCAGTAGTAATAATTGGTGGTTAGCAAGTATCTTTATTCTTGTCTTCTAACTAAAAGAAATACGTATATACAACAGTTGTCCCTCTCTCCTAACGCCATTCCTAAACAGGTAACTCATTACTCATCAACATAATTAGTCATCATTTATAAGATGAAACATGAAAAGTCATTAAGTCATTAGGTCATTTGACACTGGTCAAAAGAAATTCCTAGACACTATAGATATTATTGCATCTCTCCGTGGATGACGTAAGAGGTATGAATCATGAATTTTTTGTATGACAGCTTTAGTTAGAGGCTCGAAATTGGGCAACCAAACTCTCTCTCTCTATGATGCAATATATTTTCGGCTGAATTGAACACTCTCCAGTTGCAATCCTAAGTTTCAGATCAGTGGGAAATTGTCTGTCTTGATCTCTAATAGCATTGAATACTCTCAGATAATTTTCAATTATATCTCCTCATTGTAAGGCCCCATTCTATTAGTTTTTGAGTACTGGATCATCTAGAAATGGACATCCCAGGACTTTAATATTTAATGAATTAATCCAAAGCTTTGGTTCTAGTAAGGTATTTTCTCGAACAGCAATCCTTGAATCTGAAGCATACTTAGGAATATTCTGTTCTCTTTTAGAAAGCGCATCAGGTATAGTACTAGACTTTCCAGGTCTATGCTTAAGCTGAAAGTTCAGAGGAGTAAGAATTATCATCTATCTGACTTATCTTTCATTTAGGACCTTTTTCTTTTCAAATGACTCCAGATTTTTGTGGTCTGTAAGAATAGAAAATGCTTTCTTGAGTCTTCTGAGCTCGCTATTCCACTCCTTGATGTATTTTACAATTGCCAGTAGCTCCTTACTATGAATATCATAATTGCACTCCGCTGGAAGGTGCATGGCTGAGAAGAATGCAACTGGTCTCTATACTTTAGATACTGGGTCAAGTTGAGTTAAGGATCCTCCAACGGCCCATCCTGATGAGTCTGACTCAAGCTGTGTTCCAAAATCTGGATTGAATGAGGCCAGAATAGGCTCCTCCTCAAAGAGTTTCTTCAATTGCTGAAAGGATTCTTCACAATCTCTATCCCATTCACACTTCTGATTTTTCTTGGTAAAATTTGTCAGGGACCTTGTTAGTTTTGCAAAATCTTTAATGAAAAGCCTATAATAGTTGGTAAAACCGAGAAATGATCTTACTGATTCAAGATTTGAGAGTTGTTGGCGACTTCCATTCAGTGATTGCTTCTACTTTAGCAGGGTCTATCCTAATTCCAGATCCCACGTCAATGATATATCCTAGATACCTAGTCTTCTTAGTTTCAAACTCGCACTTTAAGATATCTAAATGTAGCCCATACTCTAGCAAGCTTGATAACACCTTGTCAACCTTTTCCAGATGGTCTGTTATTGTTCCGGATGTGAAGATAAAAATATCATCAACATATGCTGTGAAAAAGTCATCCATGAACTCCCCAAGAACCCAGTTGATGTATCTCTGGAAAGTTGCAGGTCATCCAGTAAGTCCAAAAGGGCAGACGTTCCACTCGAATAAACCATACCTTGTTCTGAAAGCAGTCTTTCACTCTTCAACTTTTGCCATCCTTATTTTGTGAAATGTGGCCGACATGCCTAATTTTGTTAGTTATTTGGCGGAATTTAGGGCATTT